TATTTATGCATATATAAATTAGCCCATTAGATGTACTGATAACCAATATCTCAAGCACTACTCACTGATCATCAGGGCAGCATGGTAGAAAAACACTGATAAGTGCAGAAACAGGCTTCATTTTAAGGACATTGCAATAATAGCTCTCAATTATAGAGTGTCTGCTTATGACAGGCATTCTGTGGCTGGGTAGTTTACCCCAAATCCACATGACAGTCTTGCACAGTAGGAAACTGGAGCTCAGCAAGGGGAGCGAACACAGCCAGGACATCACAGAGAAGAGAGCTAGGCTTCTGTGGCAGACCATGGGAGTTCAGATGCCCTCAACAGCATACCCTGCCATGGATGCCCAAGTATGGAGAGAGCATGCAATGTGGGGAAGGCTGTCAGGAGCAAGCTGCTAACAATGAAGTGAAGAATCTACTCACATCTGTGACCCACAAGGAGGATTCTTTTCTTTGAAAAGAATATGTTGGTTTCAGAAGTGATGTATGATGGCTGGGGTTAAATTATATTTTTGATACATATTAGTTCAGATTAATTTCCTTATTTTTGCATGATCTGATTGGATTACATTGTGTAGGAAGCAATAAGCTTTTATGAACTGCCTATGTTTATGACATTATCACTCATGATTTTCAGTCACTCTGGCCAAAGGATTACAAAGTGCATTTTGTTGCTTTGTTTCCTTTCACACAGCCAAACCCTGTGTCTCTGAACTGCTTAGTATCTGGAAGTAAAACTGACCCGGCTAGCAGAATGTCTGTCTTGATAAATCAGGAACAAAAAGTCCAAAACTAATGGCTTCCACAATGGAAGGTGCCCTGGGAAATAAAATATAGAACAGAGGGACTGGGGGCTTGTTTACTATGACTCTCTGTATCCATTTGATGGGAAGTATAAATAGGTTTCTTTCCACAAAGGACCCGGGGAGCAGTGAATGGGGAAATAATTGACTTGTCTTGGTATGTTTGTGAATGTGCATTTTTATCTGATGGTAAATATGCTGTTGGCCTTTGAGTCAGTCACCCACCATAAAATTTCCTCAGCCTCTTCTGCACCAAGATAACGTACCCATCCCCCCCACCCAAGAAAACATTTCAAATTAGCATTAATCATCCAGTGTCTTGGTTTGGGCCCTACGGTGAAAGCCACCTACTGCAGCTGAATGCCATTCAGCAGGCAAGAAGTGATTTGCAATATAATTTAAATGAAGAGTTGGTTTCCTTTCCCATTTAGAACACACCAGTATGGAAAACTGATTGTCAGACATTCTGGTGATGTGCATCAACTTGGCTATTCACTCAGAAAATGAAGTTTCCTGAGACACCGGTACATTTAATTTATTTTTTTTTCCTGTGAAGTTAACTTCAGCTTGTTAAATACAATGACTATCCAAGCCACAGAAAAGCCAACACTATTAATTTTAATGCTTATAATGTAATGGAAGGAGATTATATTCATTTGGAATTTTCCCCCCTCTTAATAGAATGTTTACTTGCCCCACTCCTTATGAGTTAATTATTACTTTCCCTCCATAACGCTCTGCTTCTTTCTGAGCAGCCAAACAGTGTGTCTGTCAATATCCTGAGTTTAAGAATTGGTGGTGAATCTAGCATTTCAAAATGGTTATTGCTAAAGCTTCAATAGCTTGGCAGCCTGATGTGGGAATATATGGCTAATAGGAATACAACTGGTCCCTTGCAGAGCCCGGCCATCTATTTTTATAAAGCATTTCACTTTTGTACAGTTTCTTTCTTATGCTTTGATTGTCAGATTGAATGACTTTTCCGTGAATTATCTAGTCACAAGTTATGATTTGGTGACTTTCCCTCTTTGCTCATTCACTTATCTATTTTTAGTTCATTGGCTTACTCAGTTAATAGACATTTAGTGACACCCACTTATGTCAGTGCTGTGTGAAGTATCAGGGATTGATGATTAAGACAAGTCTCTATTTTCAGGGAACTTGGTGTTGCGTAAGAATTGCAACAAGGAACTGTAGCACATGGGGCATCGATGCAAGAGAATTGGGTTCAAAGATACAGGTACAGAGGTGCACACCTTTATTCCCAGCCCTCGGGAGGCATAGATGGGCAGATCTCTGGGAGTTTGGGGACAACTTGGTCGATATAGTAAATTCCAGACCAGTCATGGCCAGATAGTGTAAGACCCTGTTGCAAGAGCAACAACAAAAATCCAGGGATAGTAGAGGGCACAGTGGAGGCAAGGCTCTCTGGAAAAGGGACCACCAAGCCCTGATCTGTTGGGGCTAGATCTTGGAGCCCTAGGTCTTGACTTCTTCACCACTGTTCATGGTGGAAAGATGCAAACAGTGGGAGAAGGCACTTCTGGCAGAGGTTGTAACATGTGCAAGCTGAGATGAAAACCCGTTAGAAACTTTGACCTACAGGGTGGTTACAGCCTCCCAGCAAAGTCATTCAGAGTGGAAAATGCACTCAACTTACCCATTCACCAAACATCCTGTCTTGGAAATTCAATACCTTGTAGATTTCAGGTTGTTGTTCTTCTAATCCCATGGTTGACGAGGGCCTGCAGCTAACTGCCACTACCGGCATGGAAGAGAGTATTGTAGCACACTTATCAACCTGGGAAAACAGCAAATTTCCGAAGGTGTAGCTTCTACTCAATCTCTCTCACTTTCAACCATCACAGGGGCAGAACATTATGGACTGAGTCAATCATGCCTTTTTTTTTTTTCTTATAAAAAATGATAATGATATGGGCTGACACTCAGCAAGATCCCCATCAGTCTGGCACTGTTTTAGATTCTCTTATCTGTAATCTGAGCCTTCTGATGACACTTGGAAACAGGTATCAAAAGCATCCCCTTTCACAAAGGAAACTCATGCACAGTCGGGTAACTTGCCAAACAGCAGAGGCACTAGAGTCAGCATCATACCAAAATTCGTTTATTCTAAAGTCTACAGTTTTAAACATCATGCTCCTAGTCTCTGCCCTCAAGGACCTTCAGTCCAGCCACACAGAGAAGATGTGCAAGTAGTGACAGTCATGCATGCCTGTGTCTAGACAGGACAATAGCACACATGATTTGTGGAGAAGTTTAAGTGAGATACAAAGTGTATGAAGTATTGAGAACGGTGCCTGGTACACGGGTAAGCATGTGCAAACTGCTGGCACTGTGGTGACTAACTTTTTCATAGTGCTAGCATCCAGTGGCACTATGGAATTCAGAGATAGAGGAGTGTAATCTGAGGTCAGTGGCAAAGGAACCCTGTAGAGTAGTGGCAGTTAATGTAGATGTGAATGGCTTCAGGGAAGACTCCACATACAGAAGATTTGGGGAAACAAAATGATTATTACAGCAAACAAAGAACAGGATGCAGAAATGCAAGCTGACTGAAGAATTCCATCATGTTTAATAAAAGCAAATAGACCAATTTGATTGAAGTGGGGCATCTGTATGGGAACGAATGAGATCCAGCAGAGAGGCAGGAGCTGTTTACAGATCATGATGCCCATTGAATGGCAGGCACTATTCATATTTAGTTGTCATAAAAAATTTCCTGAGGTTGTAAACTCACTTTTTTTTCATTGACACAATGAGGTTCAGAGAACTGAGGCAGCTTTTCTAAGGTCACCAAGCTAAGGAATGGTAGACCATGGGCTGAGAACTAGAGCCAGGTTCTTTTGGTCACATCACACTTTCATTTTTGTAGCTCATCCTTTAAATATATTGTCAGTGTTTGTAGAATCATTTTTTTTTCTCATAAAGTATGTAGGAAAAAAGTAAGAAAAATGTGTTAATGTGTTGACACGTTCTTCTTTGGGGTTTGGTTATCATTCCCTTTAGCCTAGTATTTCAAAATTCCACTTACTAACCGGCGTGTCCTTTCATCAAGACGGAAAGAGCTGGCTTCCTGTTCGGTTTCTTATACATCCCTCTCCCCTGGTTTCCTGTCCATGTGTACCTGTTAGAGCACACATCATCAAAAATACATCATCATTTGGAGTAAGAGCTGTCAGTAAAGACATGCAGCTTGGAATGAGGACCCCGGGTGCTAGGGCTGGAATCTTGGCTCTTCCTCTAACAGTTGTGACCACAAATGTGTGTTCTAAGTTGTCTTTCTTTCTGTCACTTTATCTGTGAAATAATCATAATAATCCTACCAGTGGTTTGCTGCTAATTAACAAATAGATTAATACATGTAATAACTGCAACCTGCACTTAAAATGCTGCTAACATTCATGGAATAGTAACACACGTATTGTCATAGCTGTGGCTTCTGTCTCCTGTCTTCCCACAAATGGAGTTCAGATCTGGACGAGTCCTTTCACATTTGCTGAAGAGAGGACTCAATTACAACCACTGAAGTTGGTCATTTGGCAACATCTGTCAAGATTTAAAACCTGCATTTAAAATATGGTTTATTATTTTTAAATTATTTGTGCATGTGTATGTTAGTATGTGTATGTGAGGGCAGGTGCCCACAGAGTTCAGAAGAGGGTTTTTGGATGCCCTGCATCTGGAGTTGCATGTGGTTGTGCCCCCCACCCCATCTCAGTGCTGGGAACCAAATCCAGGTCTTCTGCAAGAGCATTCACACCCTTAACTGATGAATCATCTCTCCACTCCCCAAATATACACCTTCTTTAATCTTTGCTTCACCTCAGTGTATTACTTATTACTCCCACAGATAGACTCATGAAGTGAAAAGTGTACAATGTGTAGCTTTTGGGGGTTTGGCTTATATGTGTATCACCCAGTCTAGAATCTTGAAATAGACGTTGACAAACATTTGAGGTTTCATGTGTTTTCCACATAGTCCAGCCCTTTGCTTAATCCCAGTGCAGTTCCCAAGGCTCAGCAGCCTGTACACACTTCCACTTTTGACAGCAGGCCTCCTCCCTTCCCAACCACTTACTACAAGCTCCGTTGCTGTGACCAGCTCAACCCTGGTCCTTGCTTCTCCTCTGTAGTCTGCTCTCAAAACTGACATGGATTTCTTTCATTGCAGCTGCTCCCTGCCCTTTCTCCATGATTCCTGACTTGTGGCCCTGGCAATCTCAGAAGAGCTTCATTGAATTCCCTTCCATCCAGATCCTGGGGACTCGCTTC